TCTCCTCGAGCTCCTGGAGCTTGCGCTGCGCGGCGAGCTCGTCGCGGGGCCGGGCGTCACCGAACGGGTTGGCCGCGGCGGCCTGCTTGCGCTTCTCCTCGAGCGCCTTCTTGCGCTCCTCCCGCTCGCGCTCCTCCTCCTCCGTCGGGGCCGGCAGCGGCTCCCTCTCCCTCGGCGCCGGACGGCCACCACGGTCGCCACGGTCGCCACGGTGGAAGTCTCTGCATTGTTAAAATATATCACTTGTGGTGAGTTTCACATGTTATTATGTTTGGAATATGTTTTAAAAAAAATAATTTGAGAACATATAGTTGAGCAAATCAGCATTGGATAGATATCTTCATTACGAGAGAGGCTATTTGAAAAATGGCCTCTTCTTCTGCGACCTTGAAATACCATCATGTGCTCGTGGAGATTCGGCATGACACGACACACGCACAACACGACACGACACACGACACACACACGAGTTTGGGGGGGTGGAGGTACCGGTCGTCCCTCCGGTCCCTGCGGTCGGGTCGGTCGTCCCTCCGGGGCTCGCGGTCGCGCTCCCTCTCGACGGGGGCGGCGGCAGCGCGCTCCTCGGCGGCCTTCTTGGCCAGATCGCGCCAGTTGGAATCGTCGCCGGTGGCGTCGTACCTGCCGGCACCGAATCCGCCACCATCCCTGCGACCACCCTGACGCTCGGTGCCTGCAGCATCGCAATGGTGGTGATTAGTTGCCGTCGAGGCGTGTGTGTGTGTTGTGTGTTATGTGTGTGTGTTGTGTCAAGTGTTTGCGACAAGCGAAGCAAGCACCGCTGCAAGAGCGAATGGCACTTGTATTAGAGTCGTAATGTTTTGATGTTGTCCAATGGGTACGAAGCGAAATCCATGCTCTCACGAGTACTGAGAGATAAACCTTCGGCGGACACGTGTGTGCGGCGTGTGCGGTGTGTGTGCGGCGTGTGCGGTGCGCGGCCGGGGAAGGTGCGTACGTTTGTTCTCAGCGACGTCGAGGCGGATAGCACGGCCGGCGAACTCCTCACCGTCGAGCTCGATAGCCTTGCGCAGCGATTCCGCATCTTCGAAATCGACGTAGGCGATACCGCGCGGGCGGTCGGTTTCCCTGTCCCTGGTCATGCGGACGGCGCCCTCCCTGGGCAGGTTGCAGCCAGCCTATTGTTGCAACAATCACACAAGAAGATGAACAAAAGTAGAAAATTAATTGATCAAAATTGAGGCGTGTAGAACATCATTTTGTATAACATCGATTTTGGAAAATTTGGACACGGGCAAAGATGAAAGCAGAGGAGTCGCGTACGTTGATGAAGAATTCCTCGAGCT